TGCTTTTACTACCGGTTCTAAAGAACCGGACAAAACCGGGAGCAACCCAGCACTGGTTCAAAAGAACATTTCATTTCACGGACCCTCCCTTGAGTCTTATCAAGGTCCTGGGTAGATACAAATCAAATTGCTTTTACCATAAAGTAGTTGGTATTATAAATGGATTAACTTAAAATGTAATATGGTCACAGATCATATGTTTATTGATTATGAAGGGGTAATGATTTCTTCAAGTGTGTTAGACTTCGCTTGGAAGTAAGCTGTGTTTTCAGCTGATAAGAAGTGATGGAGAGATGGAGACAACCCATTGCTTTAAATGGGTAATGTGGCCATGGATATTTTTTTTAAAAAAAAATGCTCTGGACTGTCTCTGAACACTGAGAATTACCAGTTCTGCTACAAAAACAACAGGCTGGTGGTTGGGGAAGTATTTTCCTAGATTGTAAAATGGTGCAAAGCAGAGGTCCAAGAAGTGATGATTCAAAGCGATTAGATTCATTGTGGACTATCAAGACTTTTTGACTCCTAGGGACCAAATCCATGTGATTTGTTTGCTCTCAGAAAACTGGGCCATTTACCATTCTCCTGTATAGTATAAATGGACGGCTTTGCCATTATCACTAAAGTGATAAGCTTCCTGTCAAGCCTGGAAGCCATTTTTTTTCCGTTGGATCTTCAGGCCTGCCACATTTACTACGGTGGGAAACTGGGAGTGGGGGAGAATTGTGTGAAGCCAGAGTGTTATATATAGTCATAATAACATTCCTTTCTCAGAGAGTCAAGGACATCTTGCCCTGCACCTGGAGGGTTGTGGCTGGGAGGCATCTCCAGTTGGGATGGTGAATTGATTGGACCATGTGATGGACTTGTGGGTGCTGGGCAGGAACTTTCCTTTGGGTGGGAAAAACCTGGAAACTTTCAGATTCGGGTTTTCCCAGATGTGCCAATATGACATCTCTAATAAAACGGAACTTTGAGGAACTTCAAGCCTCGGAGTATTATTTCATTGGGGGTGTTACTTGGAACCATGACATTTCCTCTGGCAATTTCCTTTAAGGGTAGTCCTCAGCTTACAACCACAATTCTGACTGGAATTTCTGGACTCATTAAGCTATGTGGTCATTAAGTGAGTCATGCCTGATTTTATGATATATATTTTTTTTAGCACTGCTGTTAAAGCAAAAATGAAATGAAACCGACTTCCCCCATTGACTTTGATTGTCGGGAGCCCCTTAGGAAGATTGCAAAAGATGATCATGAGACCCTGGCATGCTGCAGTCATTATAAAGTAGATGTCAATTGCCAAGGATTGTGAATTTGGATTGTGTGACCGCACAGAGGTGCTGCAATGATTGTAAGTGCAGTTGTAAGTTTCTTAGCATCGTTATTATTTTGAATGCTTGTTAGAGGAATTGTTGTAAGTCAAGGACTACCTCTATCATTGCTGTCCAATATTGATGCCTGCTTGCATTAGCCTTGGGTGACCCTACTGGGAATGGATACCCTTGGTATGAAGTCCCTGCATTCTTCACTCATCCTTCCCAGCAGCATAATGTGGGAGCACAGCAGGACTTGTTGTGTGTGTGGGATTTTAAAGTGAACTGGGCAATTATTTTAATGGCAGCCATCAGAGTACTGAACTTTTTAAATATTTTGTGAGGCTCGTTATCTGTTCTCCGCATCACACCAGGCCCAATGGAGTTGGCATGCCCCAACGTCTGTCAAGCAAAGCCATGTGATGGGACCCAGCAAAAAGCCTTCTGTGTTGTGGCCCCTGCCCTGAAGAACAGCTTGCCCCTCCCCAGATTCTGTAGCTTCAACCCTATTGGTCTTTTGTCATCTCTGAATACTTGGTTATCCCCCTCAAGCACTGGACTAGGGTGAATTCTTCCCTAGGGCACTGTGGCCTATCGATTGGCATTCACAGCTGGCAATTGGTTCCGTTTGTCTTTTATATTCACTGTTTTCATGATCGTTTTTTAAATTTGTGTGTAACTGTTCAGAGTTGTTTGTGAACGAGGCAGCTATTTCTGTCTATGTGGGTGCTTTGAAGTTAGTTTTTGACTCCTGAACAATTCCCTGCAATTTTCTTGGCAAGGTTTTTCAGAAGTGGTTTGCCATTGCCTCCTTCCTGTGACTGAGAGAGAATAACAAAGTCACCCGGTTGGCTTTGTGCTTCAGACAGAACTAGAACTCACAGTCTCCCAGTTTCTGGCCTACTGCCTTAACTAAATTGACTCTAGGGAAATGTACAAGATGAAGAAACAAACAAACAAACGAATGAACAAATTAATGAACATACAAATCTATCTATCTATCTGTCTGTCTGTCTGTCTGTCTGTCCGTCCGTCCATCCATCCATCCATCCATCCATCCATCCATCCATCCACCCACCCACCCACCCACCCACCCACCCAATCAATCAATCTGGCTAAGCACCTCCTGGATACTTAAGGTCATCATCCAGTGGTGGGTTGCCCCCGGTTCAGTTCAGTTCGGTTCTTGCGAACCGGTAGTAAAAGTGGTGGGAGGCTTTGCCCACCCAGCCGGATGTCATTATGGTCGATCTGCGCATGCGCAGAAGCTTCTGCACATGCGCAGGAGTGTGCACATGCGATCCTGTTGCAAACCGGTAGTAAAAGTAAGTAGAACCCAACTCTGTTATCAGTCATTTTTAAACCTCTCTAGCTGTAATTCTCAAAAAGATCACCACTGATTCTGACTGCAGCACTGGGCAGGAAAAGTGTGTGGCCCAGTGAAGACCCCTCCCTTCTAGCTGTATAGATTTAAAAACACATAGGTGATGTGTGCTGCATCTTCTAATTAACATACGTCGGGGCTTGGACTTCTGAACTGGCCCCTTACCAGCATCTCCTTTCAAGCTTTGGGTTTGAGAAGCCAGAGACTGCAGATCTGTTTCCACAAAGAACATCCAGCAATAGGAACTGTAGTCAGTGGAAAGTTGGTGTAAGAGGGTCACTGTCACTGTGAAATCCTGGGACAGAAGCAAGAACTGCAGGGCGGGGTTCACAACCCTTATTTAAGGAGGAGACAGAAGGTTTGAGGCAGCCAGGTTCAAATCCCATCAATTTTAATAGTTGGGTGCGGGGAGGATTTTGCTCTTTACCACTTAAATTTTATGTAGTGTCCAACCTTGGCAACTTTAAGACCTGTGGACTTCAACTCCCAGAATTCCCCAGCCACAAGTCCGCAGGTCTTAAAAGTGGCCAAGGTACATCATCCTCTTGGCTCGCTTTTCTTCTCTGGCTGTTGCTCTTCAGAGAGATGAAAGGGGAAACCTGTAGGCTGTTTCCCAGCTAATTGCTCAGCGAGGCGTAAAACGCGATTGCGAGATCATAATTCCATCTCTTAAGTGGCAGCAAACCTGCACGAGAGAAGCTTCAGCCGACGATCCGCCGGCTGTGTTTATTCCTCTTTGACACCGGAATCCGCACACCAGACAATGAAAAGTAGGAGGCTGGGCAGGCGCTTCTGGACGGCATCCAACGCAATTAGATTATTCCCGACAAAGAGTGATTTCATATCGCCCTTCGAGCCATGGATTAAACTCTCCGGAGGATCTCGCTCGGTTCTTTTTCTTTTTCTTTTTTTTTTTCATTTCCCGCGAATCAGCCACGGGGCCCTGCATTTCCCACGCAATCAAGATAAGCATTTCCCCGGGCTTATCTTCCCACTCGAGGATCTGACCCCCGGGGTTGCCCCCCCCCCCCCCCCCGCGCGCTTTCACCTCGGGAGCCTCTAAATCATGTTGGCGACTCTCCCTCGTCTCGCATTACGTCCCTCTCGGCTCCTGAATGAATTTGCTCTCTCGGGCTCCGGGAGCGGCGGTTATTTTAAAGGCTTCTCACGTTCGGGGGGCCCCTGCAATCACTGGAGTGTTTGTTTTAAGGGGATGAATCGGCCTTCTGAAATCTCAGCCTGTCCAATTGAGGCAGGAGGATTTAGGTTTCCCAAAGCGGCGGCATCGCCAACTTTGCACGTATCGCTTTTTCACCCGGGAGCTGAGCTGGGGGGGGGGGGGTCTTGCTCATTTTATTTGCGAAAGGAGGTGGAGGCCGCCGAGGGGCGATTAGAAAGCGCAGGCGGGGAGGGGCCGTTCAGAGTGACTCGCTTTCGCGTTTCTTCTGGGCGACCTAAAAAGTACCGAAAGTCGAGCTCCAAGCGGAGTGGGGGCAGTCCCAGAGCCCCAGGGCGATCTCCAGCCTTAGCCGCTCTTAAACCAACCCCTAACGCGGCCAGGAAGCTAGAAACGCGGGCCGAAAATGACACCACCCGGCAAGGCTCCAACTTTTGCCCCAGGATTGATGGGGAGGGGGGGGTCGCTTCGGCCCGCCGTTCGCCTTTTGCCCCCCACCCCATCCCCGAGTGTAGGGCGCAGCTCAACGGGTGAGACGGAGAAGAGGGCTCAGCTTAAGCCAGGCTTCCCGGGCACGGCATCCTCAGGTGCCGCCGCTGCTGCCTCGCCGCCGCTCGGAAGTCCAGGTTGACAGCTCCGCCGCCGGGGAGAGGCGCCGCTCGTTGCAGCTCCGGGCTGGGCTCCAACGCATTCTTCCTCATCTCCTCTTCCCCTCGGGGGTGGGGTGGTGGTGGAAGGGGCAGAGAGGGGCGTAAAGCGTGGGAGTGGGGGGTGGGATTGCCAGGGGGCTCCTGCGCTGGCATCCAACCACCTGCCTGGCCTCCCCAACCGGGAGATAGGCTCTCAGTGCCCAGCCCAGCCCAGCTGCCTTCTCCTCTCCTCTCCTCTCCTGGCTGCTCCTGCTGCTTCCCCCTCTCCAGCCCACCCCCGGCCTCCCACCCACCCGATCTCTACGGGAGCTGTTCCTTCCTCTCCTCTCCGTCGCTTTTGCGCCCAGACTATATTGAGTAGTGAGGCTCTGCAATCACGTGGTCCGCGGGAGGGAGGGGGCAGAGAAGGAGGATGGGGGTGCCTCCGCAGTTTGCCGGGGCCCGGAGACGCGCGCGCGCACCGGCACATACGCTCGGCCGCGCGCTCTGACACACGCACACACTCACACTCGGAGACACACGAGTGCTCCAGAGCTGCTTCTACCGCTGCCGCTGAAGAAGTCGAGGGCTTTACCGCCGGGCAACGTCGTCTCCTAACCAATCCGGGATTTAACCATTGGCTCATGTCTTCTCAAGCCTGATTCGCCCCCCCCTCCCACTTAACGAAAAAGCAGATCTTACTCTCCTTGTTTACAGCCGCTTCTTCGCCGATTCCTTTTTTCCTCCCCATTTTCTTCCTTCCCCACTTTTTTTTCTCTGCTCCTGCGCTTGGAGATTACTTAGGGCTAGGGGAGAGGTTGACAATCCTTTTGAATTTTTATTTTTTTGGAGGGGGGGAAACACCCCAACCTTGCGTTTCTTTCTCGCGCTCTCCCCCTCCCTCTCTCTCCCCCTCCCTCTCCGTCTCCCTCCCTTCCATCTCTCTGGCTTTTCCCAGACCAAATCCGGGCTGATGTGCTTCGACAGAGCTTGGAAATGGAAGTGCTGATGGTCTGGCTTTTCCCTTGGATCTTTCAGTGCCTTTCCGTGCGAGCCGACTCGATCATCCATATCGGTAAGAGAAAAAGAAAAAAGAAAAGAAAAAAAAAAGGAAGGAAAGAAAGAAAGAAAAGCCCAAGAGCCGTCGCTGGCGTGCGTGCGCGGAGAGGCAAGCTAGCGAAGGATCAATTAACGCGGATGGTGGGGTGTTTAATCGGATCTGGTTTTATTTATTTATTCGCATTTCTATATGGTTAGGGTGCAAAGCGGCGAAGATAGCCGCGCTGAATGGAGGGGGGGAGAGAGAGAGAGAGAGAGAGAGAGATTGCCCTCCCCACCCTCAAATCACAGCTCCCTCAATGGACCTTGTGGCAAAGTTAGGGGAGGGTTGAAAGCTGTGCCGGGCGCGCGGGAGGGTCTCCATCCCTCCGGAGACGACTCTCGCTCGGATCTGCCGGCCGCAGCCGCCTCTCTTCCCTTCCCTTCCCGCAAAGCCCGCGGGCGCCTTAAGACCTGTTTGCGCGTGGCTGCTCCTCTGGCTTTGGCTTCTCGACTTTCCGGGGTGGAGGACGCCGCCGCACCGCCTTCCTTCAACTTTGGAGTTGAAGCTCCCTCCCCCCCACTTCGCCTGGGCTAAGGTGGGAGGGGGAGGTTCGTGTGTTGGCTGGGGGAGCTCGACTCTGCCGGGGGGGATCCCCAACGCCACTTCCGGCGCCCGGGGACTGGCCGAGGGAGAGGGGGAGGCAGGTGGGCGCTCGGCTCGGTCAGAGGAGCGCCCGGGATGACGTTGGGCCAATCGGCCCTCTCAGCGCAGCCTACCTCACAGGGTGGTTGTACCGACTCCCCCGTGTCCCTCAGGAAAATTGTGTTTTCATATCCTGCATCCATCGGAAAATAAACAGGATGCTGGAGCCGGATGAGGATTGCGGCGTCAAACCCATCCTCGACCATGAAAGCGCGCTGGATGGTCGTTCTCCCTCAGCCCACCTACTTCACAGGGTTGTTGTGAAGAAGGCAGATGCCTTGAAAGGCGGGGTAGGAGCCTAGTCCCTTAAATGAGGCGTTGGAGAGAATCGGGAGGCGCCAAGACCAAGGGAGTAAAACGCCGAACTGTTGAAATTTAAAATAAACCCCAAAGAGTGATGCGCTCTCCCCCAAGGAAGGGACTGCCCGAGCATCGGACATCCGCGGGGCGCGCAGGAGGCTTCTCTCCGCATCAGCAGAGAGTGGGAGGCGTGGGGTGTTAGCCGTAGAGAAACTCCCAGCTCCGGACTCTCGGCGTGGCTCAAAACCTCCCCTTGATGGCTCCGCGCACGGAGAAGCGCAGGCACGCTCCTTGCTTGCTTCAGAAGGACAGAACAGAAGCCTTGGGGCACTTTGCGATTATTTATTTATTGATTTGATTTGATTTGATTTGTATACCGCCCTTCTCCAGCAGGACTCAGGGCGGAGAACAGCCGAGATAAAACAGAGCATACAAAATTTAAAAAAACAGTTTAAAAGGTAAATTAAATAATTTCGGCCCACAATTTAAAACAACCCAATTAAAACCAATTTCAAATTAAAACCGAAACGGATGGGATCAAGCCAGATTAGGGAGGATTCCCCCCCCCCTCCGCCACTCCGAGGGTGGATGACAGCGAAACTTCCAGGGCAATGGCTCCTGGAGTAGGGCTGGAGGCCAACCTTGAGGGCCGGGAGAACTGGGGGGTGGGTGGTTGAGGAGAAGCAACGAGGAGCGTTTGTCTTCGGCTTTTGACTTGGGCTGCAGCCATCCGGCGCTCCAGTGCGGGGCAGCAGAGAGGCGCGGGGGGGGGGCTTGTAAGGTTTGGCTGCCACCTAATGGTCGCCGCGAGGTGGAGTTTTGCAGGGTCCCGCTCAGAGGAAGGATGGGGTCCCACCCGGGGAGGTTTCCCCCGCCACGCCTCTCTTGCCTTCTCCCGGAGGCCGAGGAAGTTGGAAGGGAGAGCGAGGAGGGAAGAATCTCGGACACCGTTTCGGGGTGAGGGTGGCCAGTCCAGAAATAAAACTGGAGGGGGGGGGAAACCCGGGATCTCAGAGGGGCGAGACCTGACAGATCCCCGAGGCAGCATCGCATCTCTCCCATCCCTCCCTGAAAAAAGGCTGAAGCAGGCACCCCAAGAGCTGCGTTCAGACTGCAGCTGCGGTTGGCCGTGGCGGAGATGCGGAGGGGCATCGCTCTGAATTTCAGGCGCGCGCCCTCCTCCTCCTCCTCCTCTCCCCGAGCAGGAAACTTTGAGAAAAGCGCTCTCTGCAACCTACAACCCACCCCTTCCCTTCCCTTCCCTTCCCTTCCCACGAAAAGCCTCTGGTCTCCTGCTCGAACCGCTTTAATTCAACGCCAGCTTCGTTCCCTAGCTTTGCTTTATCCCACCTGGGAAATTCCCTTTCTGGGAATTGTGGGAGATGGGATCCAAAGCACCAGGAGGGCCCTGCGGGGAATAATCTCCCCGCTCTTCCGCCCAACCAAGGGGACCATCTCTGCTCTGCCCCATCCTCAGGAGGGACCCAAGGCTAGATGCCAACCCAGGCTTCCACGAGTAGGGGAGGGGGTGGACCCAACTCCTGGAAACGTGGCCCAAAACTGTAAAATCCAGGATAAATGCTAGGTGGCAGCCACGCTGGGAGCTGCAGCAGCTCTTTGCTGCCACCCTGTGGGCCGTTCGGGTTTTGCAGCCCTGATCTGGTCCCTGTGGTTCTGTTAACCATGGTTTAAGAAGTCAATCGACTTTAGTCTATATCCTCACAAAAAGCTGGGCGAAGCCACCCAGTATTTTTTAAAACCGGTTGCTGAATCAACTCAAGTTCTGCATTGGCAAACTACCCCAAGGGTTGAGTTGGCGCGAGAAGGGGGCAGGGCGGGAATTAAACGCTGCCAACGAGGCTTATCTCAAGCTTGGTTGGAGATGCTAGGCCGTTATGACCTGATAGGTGACCAGCGACCCAGGACCGGGGTTCACATGCCTCACCCCCCTAGTCTCAACCAGGCCTGACAAGTTCCTACGAACTTGAGCCTTGGTAGTACAGTGGTCTAAAGCACCCTGTTATTAACACAGCTGCCTGCAATTATTGCAGGTTTGAATCTTGCCAGGCTCAAGGTTGACTCAGCCTTCCATCCTTTCTAAGGTAAGTTAAATGAGGACCCAGTTTGTGGGGGCAATAAGCTGACTTTGTATAAATATACAAAAGTATGAAGGCTATTGCTTAATGCATTGTAAGCCGCCCTGAGTGTCCGGAGAAGGGCGGCATATAAATAATAATAATTAAAAAAAGTGGTAACTGCAGAAAGTCACATCCTTAGCCTAATGAGACGGTCCCAATGCAGGACAACTAGCGGAAGACCAAGTGCCTTTCTTTCTTTCTTTCTTTCTTTCTTTCTTTCTTTCTTTCTTTCTTTGATTTATATGCTGCCCAAGTGCCATTTATTTATTTATTTATTTATTTATTTATTTATTTATTTATTTATTTATTTATTTATTTATTTTTATATGCCGCCCTTCTCCGGAGACTCAGGGCGGCTTCCAATGCATTAAGCAATAGCCTTCATACTTTTGTATATTTTTTACAAAGTCAGCTTATTGCCCCCACAAACTGGGTCCTCATTTCACCTACCTTAGAAAGGATGGAAGGCTGAATCAACCTTGAGCCTGGTGAGATTCGAACCTGCAATAATTGCAGGCAGCTGGTGTTAAATTACAGTGCTTAGTCTGCTGAGCTATCCAGGCTCCTTTCTTGGGGGTATAACGTGGGGACCGGTCATTTAGGTCAGGAAAAGTAGATGGAAGCGGTGTCTACTTCCGAGAAGGGAAGGAAATCCGAGGGAGGGGAGGGGAGGGGAGAGGAGGGGGGTGACTTGGCTCCCCTGATCCCCACCACAAGTTGCTAACGGTGACCAGGACGTTACTCTTTCCCTCCCTTCACCTCCCCCCGCCCCAAACAGGTGCGATCTTCGAAGGCAACGCGGCCAAGGACGACGAGATCTTTAAGCAGGCGGTGGCCGACCTCAGCCTCAACGATGACATCCTGCAGAGCGAGAAGATCACTTACACCATCAAGCTGATAGAAGCCAACAACCCCTTTCACGCCGTGCAGGAAGGTAAGCGCCGCTGCGCAAGAGCACCGTCCGCCCGCCGCTTCCGTGCAAGGGGTCCCGCCGCTGCCACTTCGCGCTCCGGGGGCTCTCTTGCAAAGGGCGTTCCTGCCGCAACCCAGCCCGCGCGTGTCGCCCGCCTTGCGCGGCCGGTGGAATTGTCGGCCGAGGGTTTTGCGCCTGGAAAGTGCCTTTTCGGCCGAAGGTGGGCGCTGTTTGCCCAAGAAAGGAGAGCGGAGATCGCAGAGAAGCTGAGGCTGGGGTGGGGGGGGGTTAGGGCGGCGCTGGGCTCTTGCGCATCCTCTGCGTGGCCCGAATAGCTGACCTGCTGGAGGTGGCCAGTGGCCTGGTGGGTTTGCCACCCGGGGGAAGGGAGAGACGAGCACCCGGCCTCGCAGCGATGTCATGTCCCGCTGCGCCGCAGCTCTTGAGAGGTGTAGTAAGAGATCAGTAGTAAGAGTGTAGGGAGGCTCGAGCGCAGCCCGCAGGTGCTGGGGTCGCCGACCGAAAGAGGGAGGCGAAGGAAGGAATGAAGGAGAGGCACCTGTTTTTGGAGAGCTTGCCGGGAAAACCAGTGATGCCAATTTGTTTGGACTCTTGAGAAGGTGGTTTGCCACCTGCTGTGGTGGGCTTGTTTTCTGGTCCTTCAAGGACACTCCCATTTCCCCATGAGGGGCTTCCTTGCAATTAAAGTTGAGGGTGAACTGGCAGGTGGGAACTGTATGGTTGGCCTCCCAATAGAAGAGAAAGAGGGGCTTGGTCTGCAAGAGAGAAAGCGAACAATGGTTGCCTCTACTTCAGGGGTCTCCAACCTTGGCAACTTTAAGACTTGTGGGCTTCAACTCCCAGAGTTCCTCAGCTGAGGAACTCTGGGAGTTGAAGCCCAACAAGTCTTAAAGTTGCCAAGGTTGGAGACCTCTGCTCTAGTTGGTTGACTCTAGAAGAGTTTGTGATTGTTGTATTGGTTCCTGTTTTGGACATGGGTCCAACAAAGTGAGGAACGGAGGGGGGGGTCTGTGTTGTGGTCTGTGGCATTTGACCCCCCTTTTATGCCTTCCCTCATCTGATGTGTCTTCTGCAACAAGGTGTCATATTTTCAATGGCCAATGGATATATTCTTTGAAAAGGATGTGTATGGGGCGGGAAGCCACCATCTCTACAGCTTTGTGTGTTGTCTGATCACTGTCTTTGCTTTGTGGGTCTGTCAATCTGTCTTTCTATTGGCCAGGCGAAGAGAGAGAGAGAGAGAGAGAGAGCCCAAGGGAGGCATACAAAGGAAGACTGTTGTCAGGGCAGACTTTTCTCTCCACCCCGGATGTGCTTCTGATGGGGTTAGATGAACAGGGTGCTTTGTTCTGGGAAATAGGCACCTGGAAGAGAGTGTTCTGGTGGTTGGATTTAAAAAAAGGCACAGAGGATGGAAGGGAGGTATACGCCTGTATTTGCAGGTGGCAAGGAAGAAACAGGCTGTAAAACCATTTTTCTTGGTCTTGATTTGGGAGGTGATGTGTAAGAACGATCTGGACATTTTTCTACAGAAGGTGCTTACAGAACAGCGATCTCTCTCTACGGAGCTGCAGAAGTTAATAAAGATAATCCATGGGAGATATAATTGCCCTCTACCTGACCATAAATGATAGGACAAGCAGCCCTGATCAGTTGGCAACCTTAGGAGATGTAAGAAGGAGGAAAGGAAGTGTTAAAGAAAGTGCCAATTTATTATCATTGCCGTCCCTGTTATTACTTAATCAAATGCGCTCCATAATTCCATGCCGATTTAAAATGGATTAAATACCCCACACAAATGATTGGTTGCAAACGATTCTCAGATTTACAGGAGCTGACAAGGAGCTGCATAGATACTGCCTAGATAAATGGTTTCAAATTAGATTTTTTACAATAGAAAACAATCCTAAATTAATTGGCTCGCTTTTACAAACGGAAGGCTTCTTCATTACAGCAAAGTTTGATGAATAAGTCAAGATTGATTATCACCTGCATTCTTCCAGCTGCAGTGAATTTCTGAAGTAATTACTGTAGAAAAAGAAGCCTACTTATATGTCTTGGCAATGTTATTATTTTCTCCTAAGAATGATTCATCAAGGTATGATACATTGGGAAAAATATATGAGGTGAGGTGGAGGCAGGCTCCCATGTCAAAATTCATGTATGTTTGAATGGATTGTTCCTGGTTTAACCCAATTTAGCAAAGATTTGTTTTTTTTTTGTTTTTTTAATGAAGGTAGAGTATTTCTAGTTTGGTTCTCACATGCTTAGGCTATATTCATAGGAATACAAGTTCTGAGCTGCAAAAATTGAAGTGATCACTAGGGGGCAGGGGAGAGGTGCCAAAGCCTAACCCTCTGACACCTTCTAGTGGTTGACCAAGTTGATTCAGTTGAAATGGGGAATCCTTATTTGATAAAGGTGCATTATTTACATTCTTTTCAATTTAAATCTGAGAAAATGGCCGGTTGACCTTTTGGGCGTGGGGCTGGGGGCTTCTGGGTCATTGTCAGAGAACGCACCCACCGTTTGAACTTTTGAAGGAGATTGTGAGAACATAGGAAGGTGTGCTGCTGTTGTTCCTTCCCTTTGGATCTCAACAACTTTATCTGAGCTGAACTACTGGATGGGCTAGGCTCATCTAATGCAGGTGAATCTTTAGTAATCCAGGTACCAAGCCAATAAGGGCTTTCTAGGTCAAGGCTCTTTGAACCATTCTTGGAAGACTCTTCCTGCACTTGACCACCTTGATAATAACTTGGTGTTACAAACTATTTTTGGATTTTTAAATTTTTTTCCATGGGGCATGATGGTTAAAAGCCAGGGGAAGAAACATTCCCTTGGATTAAGGAAGGTGAGCATAGTAGGATTGATTATTGACCAAATCTTGGATTGCAGAGAGGCTCATTCAGCTAGGAAGGCTCCGTAGCTTGTATCAGAATTTCTTCCTATATTTAGTGTTTAAGTAGTTAAATGAACATTTCCCAAAGCATCTTCTTTCCCCCCCCCCTTTTGCAGCCTTCCCATAGCCCCTCTTCCATTCTGTCCTCCCCGGGATTTAAAATAAGCAGAACATGCATCAAACGCATGGGAGCTTCAGTGTTCTCTTTGGCATATAATTATATACATTTAATTATGTTGTTTTCTTTCTACATCAGAGGGAGAAGCTATTAGCTAGAGCAGGAGGCAGACTGTGCAAAGCCTACAAAAAGATCCGAGACCACCTCCTTAATCTGTTCTGGGATACTTCATTAGGCTTTGCAAAATTTTTCCAAGGACCCACATAAGTGTTGTTTCAAACTGTCCACTCATGGGTAGTGGACCCTAAATGCAGATTCTCTCCTTGAATGGAAGCTTTGAAGCTGGAGGACAGATGGCAGGTTGGGCAAATGCTACTTTTTTTAAAGAAGAAAATAAATTTCTTGGGCATACATTTGTTGGTTCTGTTTTTATGGGGCTATTTCCTCCTCTTCCACAGCAGGTTGGGTAAAAAGAAGGATGTGTGATAGGACTATGAAAGGATCTTCTTCAGATCCAAAGGGATCAAAGTTTGAACCCAGTGCTTAGTTGAGAGGACGAAGAGTTGCTTTATCCTGGTTTCTTTTTTCCATGGGTGGGAGGCAACTGTCTTTCCCAGTTCCATTTTCCTTCTGGTTTCTTTTCTGCTATTGTACAGAGGGTTGACAGCATGATCCATCACAAACCAAACTATAGTTATATCATTCTTTCCATCCATCTCCTCCCTTAATGAATGAAGAACTGTCAAAAGAAAGAGAAGCAGTAGTCATGAGTCTACTGAGCTTGTAAAGGAGTCCTTGGCTTCAGCTCCTGTAATAAACCTCTGAGAGGTGCTTTAGCTTCCCAGTCCTGGTGCCCTTCTAAGCAACATCAGACCACACCACATGACCATAATAATGGAAGCATTTGTGATCTGAAACTCAATGGATAGCTCTTTATGTGGTAGATGTCTGTGTGTAGGCTCTTCCCATAAGTTCTTGATGCTAATGCTATGGCTTCTAACTCTAGGTTGAGAGAGGACCTGTTTGGAAAACAGAGAAGGGTAATAATTTACAAGAGGTGGTGGACTTGATCTATTCAGGTCTAGGTAAAAGGCAGAAAGACCTCAGTAGATCCCTGCTGTTGCTTGGTATTGTTGATTCTGATAATCAGCATAAGGCTACTTGTATTTGGTGGTTCCTGGTTTCTTTATTGATCTTTTATTTATTTGTAAAATTTAGATCTTGCCACACGGTAATCCTGGGTGGCTAATAGTATGTCTTTGGAGAAGTTCTGGAAAGTGTCCCAGCTGTAGGGCCTTAACCAGTAGAAAGTGTTCCAGCTGTAAGGCTTTACCACCCGGGGACTGTTGGTTCCAGAAGACCCAGCCATCACAGCTAAAGGAAATGTTGAGGGTTGCCCATTGTTCAGGATGGCTGTTCTGCAGATCTCTCTTTTGCAGGCTCTCAACTGTCAGTTCAGTTCAGCTGACATTGCTTGTATTTGGAACTCCAATTCTCATTCTCTCTCTCTCTCTTTCTCTGCAAAATGATCTTCCTCACCTCCCAGAAGTCCAGAGCAAACACACAGAGAATTCATCATGTTCACTCTCTCTGCTTTATGCATTTGAAGAAATGGACTTGCCTACAAATGCTTCTGTCGCAAAGCCCTTTTAGTATCAAGGGAGCGTTTTAAATGTATCCACAGACAAAACCTGCGTCTGCATGTTTAAACCATACTGAGAAGAGAATGAATGAAGCTTTTCTTAATTAGTATGGATTTTCTCCTACTGAACTCTTGAAATTCTGGGATGCGTTCTGACATGCCAGCTCTTTGGAATCTCATCTTGCTGATTCACTTGTCATTAGCCTTCCTGCTTGCTCTGAACTCAGAACCATGATCATTTATGAATAGATCTGAGATGTTTACACCTTGGGAGCCAGGGTTTGTTTTGGTTGTAACCACGGAGTGGCTTACCTAAATCTTACGACTGGTTGGAATCA